ATAACTACCAAAACATTCTGTTGAAAATAGTGGATAACTACCAAAACATTATGTTGAAAATAGTGGATAACTACCAAAACATTCTGTTGAAAATAGTGGATAACTACCAAAACATTATGTTGAAAATAGTGGATAACTACCAAAACATTCTGTTGAAAATAGTGGATAACTACCAAAACAAAACATTAGGTTGATAATAGAATGTATAAGTAGCAAACATAAAAAGTCAATCTAGACACATCTCATTGTGAACGTGATAATTGCTACATTTTAAATCAGACAATTCCACAGATCCCTGTACCATCCCTCTATCAACATAGTCGATTAACTCTTAATAAGAACCCATACACAATAAATCATCATATTCAATATAAAAGTAAATTTTACAGGATAACATGTGAATTAATTATTACAGTAAATCTACAGTGTTTGATAGGACAGATTATCATGGTATTATGCCATCTTTGGTCTTAACAATAGATTCAGTCTGAAAGTTATTATGCTTCAATATCTCTGGTTTGTGATTTCATTGTTTTGAATACAATCTTTAATAAATATCAAATGTGATGTGGATTTTTTTTATTATCTTAATATAAAGTCTCCAAATATTAATACCTGAAGAACATTTCAAAGCATGTCACAAACCATTATAAGAAGTGAATTTAGATTTGATTAAAATACTGAAAAATAACAATTAAATACAAAAAAAAGAAGCTAGAAAATAATAATATAAGATGTGGAACTAAGACTAACATGGACAGTAAAATTTTATCAGAAGTGATCTCTCAAAGAAAGCACCTGAACATATTTTGTCTAGCTTCATTTGGTGGCAACTAACAACTGAAGCTTTGATAACAAGAACTAACTAAATTTCAAACTCACTTGAAGGCTTCCTCGTCCACAGTATTCCGTTACGATGATCAATCTGTTGGGTTCGATACACGCCCCTATGAACTGATTAACGTTGTCATGATGAAGTTCTCGCATCTGGAGAGAAAGTAACAACAGTATTCCTAAACAATAGAAAAACGAGGATTTCATAGAGTAAATTTATTATTGACCTTCTGATAAAGCTTTCTAGAGAAACCTTTTTTATTTACAAATGCCAGAGTCATGTGATACTAGGGTAGTAGATACTTTACCATTTTCATCTCCTTCTTTGTTTCTCTGGGAATATCCACAGATTTACGGATAAATATTAATGGTTTCACAGCAACAAGACTTCCTTTGTACATTGCCGTCTGGGTGAAGACTTGTCCATACATCCGGGATTCGAAGGATACCTGACTCAACAGGCTTGCCTGAAGGGAAGACACAGAGCTGCTAATGAAAGCTTAATAACATCCAAATACCACAGAAAATAGAGGAGGAAGAAGAAAAAATATTCAACAAAGGAAAAAACAGTTGAGAATAAAGAAATTATGTTAAATAAGAAAAACCTGACACATCAAATATTATCACATGTCAGGTTTACCTATTCAATTCATCCTACTGTCACTGATTAGGCTTACCTTTTTAACTGATCCTTTTTTACAGTTCAGGTTAACCTATTTAACTGATCCTTTGTCACAGATCAGGTTTACCCACTTAACTGATCCTTTGTCACAGATCAGGTTTACCCACTTAACTGATCGTTTGTCACAGATCAGGTTTACCTGGTTAATTCATCCTACTGTCACAGGTTTATCTGTTTAGCTGATCCTACGCTTACATATCAGGTTTACCTGTTTAACTGATCCTTTGTTACAGTTCAGGTTAACCTGGTTAATTCATCCTACTGTCACAGTTCAGGTTTATCTGTTTAGCTGATCCTACTCTTACATATCAGGTTTACCTGTTTAACTGATCCTTTGTTACAGATCAGGTTTACCTGTTTAACAGATCCTTTGTTACAGTTCAGGTTTACCTGTTTAACTGATCCTTTGTCACAGTTCAGGTTTATCTGTTTAACTGATCCTTTGTTACAGTTGAGGTTAATCTGTTTAATTGATCCTTTGTTACAGTTCAGGTTTATCTGTTTAACTGATCCTTTGTTACAGTTCAGGTTTACCTGTTTAACTGATCCTTTGTTACAGATCAGGTTTACCAGTTTAACTAATCCCTTCTCACAGTTCAGGTTAACCTGTTTAACTGATCCTTTGTTACAGTTCAGGTTAACCTGTTTAACTGATCCTTTGTCACAGTTCAGGTTTATCTGTTTAACTAATCCTTTGTCACAGTTCAGGTTTATCTGTTTAACTGATCCTTTGTACAGATCAGGTTTACCTGTTTAACTAATCCTTTCTCACAGTTCAGGTTTATCTGTTTAACTGATCCTTTGTTACAGTTCAGGTTAACCTTTTAACTGTATCCTTTGTTACAGTTCTAGGTTTAACCTGTTTAACTGATCCTTTG